ACACAAATACGGTAAAAAAAAAAAAAAAAAAAAAAAATCTGGGTCCTTGTCAGCAACCACTCTGTACTTAACTAATCTTTGCAATTCTCACCTCCCAAGTTTATTAAGAAATAATGACTCACCCATAATGCAATTAGTGACAAAGTTAATGAACGCTACATGTCCTAACATTCACCTCTAATAATTATTTGGCTTAATTAAGAATGATTTTATTTTTGTAGAGATATTCACGTGTTTTTTAAAGAAAAGGCATCATTTACATTCTTTATTTCCTTTTCCTTCAAGTTTCAGGCTTGAGAAGCCTGCATATTAGGTCCAGGCTAAGATCTATGACACCTGCCAGGCAAATAATACCAAAGGCAAAGCAAGCCTAGTGGAGGGTACAGCAAACTAGAGCTCAGAACTCACCTAGAAGGGGCAACCACAACTCAACTCTAGCAAGCTACAATCAAACAGGAACAGCAACCAGGTAGAGCCAAATCCTGTGATTTTGCAAGTGATGCTAGAAAGTGAGACTTCTTAAATGTGAAGTCTTCCTATTTTTAAATGGTGGCGACTAATTACTAAATGTTCCATATACACCAAGAGAAAGCAATATATGTATCTGTGCAGTGGATTCAGTCCAAGGGCATCCTGCTACTGCAGGCTCAGAGTTTAAAATCTCTACATATAATTGAAGGTGGACTAAGGGAACACACTCCTTTACTACTGGCCTCACCTCTAAAGCAAAGAAAGCAGGACCACTAAAAGCCAAGTCCATAAAATTAGAAGATGTACCAGTGACAAACTCCTTTAACTTTTTTCTCTCTTGAAAAACAAATCTGTTAGCAGTTTTAGATACAGAAGCTTCTACAGCATAAAAATACATAGGGAGAATTTTTTGCTTTTTAAATTTTTTTCCTCAAAACTTGCAAAAAGGAAAATATTCAAATAAATAGTTAAAATTGTACAAATTTTTCTGGCCTTAACCAAACTAATGAAAACGCTCAGTAATAAACATGAGACAATGACTCCCCATGCACATAGAAAAACAACGTACAAAATACTAATGGCATTAATGTATTTGCACTTGTCTATCTATATATTGTCATTTGACTCTCTTCTGACCAACAGCACCAAACTAGCTGGATACAAGGCTGAACGCCATGACGAGGGAACCCTACTCTAACAAACCACTGTGGACTCAAACCTGTGACCTGAACCTCCTTAATATCATGCTATCCAATAACTAAGGTGACCACTCACTAGTAAATAAATATTCAGTTAGTCCAAAAGCATTTTTCTATACTTTTACAAAAGATTTGACATTATTTAACCAAGTCATTAAAGCCCTTTAAAAATACGAATTTATAGAAAAGATCTGAACTTCATCTCTAAACCTACTTAACCTGCTGGAAGCCTTTATGAAGTCTTAATTTTTAATATAATTAATCATGGTAGATAGGCCTTTGGAGTTCAAACCATTCTTTAAAATAACTATTAGTGAGGGAGTCCCTGTACCAATAGAATTCATAGGCAATTTACTGACAATAAAATTATATTACTGTTACTTTGGGATACTATTTACTGAACATTTACTATGTGTCAGGCGCTGTGCTGAATACTTCCTGGTTCTCATTAAACCTTAAAAACGACCATATGATGGAAGTACCATTAATATCCCCATTTTAAAGATGGGGAAACTGACCTTTCCGGGATCACACAGCTATAAGTGGCAGAGTCAGGATTCCAACCCAAATCTTGTCTAACTTCAGAATTTGCATGCTTAAACACTACACTGTATTGCCTCCAGTGACTCTGGGTTGATATCTAAGATAAAGAAAAGAGGGAAATTTGTACTTCTCGGTGACAAATTTAAAAAACATACTAGACGGACACCTGGGTGGCTCAGTCGGTTAAGCAATTGCCTTCAGCTCAGGTCATGATCCCAGGGTCCTGGGATCGAGTCCTACATGGGGCTCCCCGCTCCACGGGGAGCCTGCTTCTCCCTCTGCCTCTGCCTCTCTCTCTCTCTCATGAATAAATAAATAAAAAATCTTTAATAAATAAATAAATAAATAAATAACATACTAGAAATGGAGGATACTTTTCAGAACATGAACAATTCTCAGATACACAGTCATACAAATATTATTTTTATTCCCAAATACATATTAATAATGATGGAAATCTCAAACAATGGACTTCCCACAAACACAATCTCTCCTAAGTACTCATTCATGTTTATTATTAAAAATTTAATGGGAACACTCAATATTTTCTGCCCTGTTTTGCTGTGAACCTAAAACTGTTCTACAAAATAAACTTTTTAAAAAAAATTTAGAACTACAATATGCCAAATATGCCTAAAACAATTCAGTTATGAACACGGACATAAGACTATCTGCTTTCAGGATGAAAAGTTGCACTTTAACCACAGTGCCAAGCATGTAATGAGCACTTAAATATTTAATTGATTCTTTCAAAAAGGCTTGAAGGTATGTAAACAGTGCTGTAAAATTCAAATTTTTAACACTCCCAGAACACCTTCAGAAGTCTATAACACTAAGACATAATATGGTAAGTTGGAATAAAATTAGACAAAAAAATTAAACTCCTAATGACTATAAAGAAATGCAACACTGTTATACCATGGCTGACATAAATAAGGCTAATTTTACTTTTCCACCTTAAGTATCAAAAGATGTAGCCTGAAGACAAAAATAATTACAGAATCTTTTTCTAATTCATTTTGTTAAGTCCTCTCTAAATCCTCCAAAGCTTATCCAAAACAAACAAAAACTTTCAATTGTTCCGAGTGACTGTCAACATATGAACCAAATATTTTTTCCTCTGATACACCACACCAAGGTTGTCAAAATCCTAAAGGTCAAATAATACTGATGTGAGGGATCTATAAAAACAGTTTTGCCATCTATTACCACTTCCCATCAACATTTACCTCTCATCAAGGTCCACCTTTATAAATATATACCTATGTTCACTTACGAAGGTAACAAGTAAGGAGAAGGAACTGACTGTATGAAAAAACCATTTGCCTTATACATTTTGCAATATACTGTCAAGACTAATTGTCAAATAGAACACTGTACTGGCCACCAACAAAGTGTTGAAGTGTCAATTTTAGTTTACTTCAGAATTGTACTTACAAAGTCTCAACTATAAAAGATTACACTAATATTAATAAACGGGAATTCTGTGGCATAAGTTGCAGATACTATTAGAGGACGGGCCCTTAATCACACCAGTAATTCACAGAACTCCTTTCCTTTCTCGCTGACCCACATCTTCATATGTGATCCGAAGACTTTTCTGCATCGCTGTGCTTTCAAAGGCACGGGTTGGGATTTGCAGTGCCATAAAAACAAAGCATTCTGACCAGTGCATGTTTCAAATGGTATCAGTACAATACTCATTCAAATACTTGTATATTCAAAGCTTCTTACTAATAATCTGGCTTCAACAGGGAGTGCACACACAGGTTAAAAGAGACTTTGACTGCCTTGGTAGCTGCAAGCTCAGCTGAATCCCAGGACGCAACCTCAATTTGGAAGAGGCAGAACTATATCCGGTTCTCAATGGATACACATTTTTCCCATGCTTCCCAATCTCAAAAACTTTACATCTTCCCAGAGTAACAATAAATATACAAAGACGCCAGGGAGTATGCCCGTAGGGAAGATGAGCGATCAAATTAAATCCCTACGCAAGGAACCTGAAGCTTCATAACTTTTCAGAACAAATCACAGCTGAAAAAACGAGGTAAGTTTTCCCACTTGTTTCCAGGAGCCAGCTGCCCCAATCCCTGAACAGCTGTCTTGACTTACTGGTTAGTTGGAGGAGCAGTCAGCGGGATGGCCACCTCTTCTTCCTCGTATTCTGGTCCATCCAGAGAGTCACCTTCGTCCACTGTTCCCAGGCCCGCGCCCAAAGAGGGCAGCTGAGGAGGCGGCGGCAGAGGAGGGAATCCGCCGCCTGCCCCGAAGGTCTCAGCAGGCAACGGAGTGGTCCCCTTGGCGAGAGCCATCTCTCCTCCAGGTCCAGCGGCAGCACCAGCCACGCCAGCAGCAGCACCTCCCCCTGACAGTCCGGGTCCCCCCAGTGCTCCTGCCACAGACGCGGCTCCTAGGAACCCTGATCCCAAAGCGGCTCCGCCAGCCAGAGTCCCGGCCACTCCGGCCTCCGTCAGCCCAGAATAGGGGACGGCTGCCACGGGCAGGGCCGGGGGTATCTTCACCCTACACACTGCCGGATAGACACTCGAGCCCGCCGCTGCGCCGCCTCCTGCTGCCCCGGCGGTCACCGGGCCGCCCTCCTCACTGCCGGCCTCGGCCGCCATCATGTTGAAGCCCGCTCTACTCTACCCTACCCTACTCGCCCGGGAGCCCCGGGGGCCACCAGGCCCGGGCTCCGAGCCGCCCCACCCAGGCGCGTTCCCCCTTCAGCTCCCCAGGCAGAGGAAACAACAACAAAAGGAGAGAGCCCGCCGCCGCGCCCCCTCCTCGGGCCACAGCCCAGGCTCCGGAGCTGCCCGGGTTACGGGAAGCGAAGTGGGCAAAAAACCCAACGCCTGCACAAACGCCGCCCCAAACCTTCACCTTACACACCCACACTCACGCACACACACACATGCACAGAAGTAAAAAACTTCCTGGCTGCACTAAAGAGGAAGGGAAGCACAGAGGAAGCGGCTGGGGCGGCTGCCGCTCCTTCAGCCACCGCCGCCGCCGCCGCCACCGCTTCTTCACCACCCTAGTTCCGGCCACCCCCACCGCAGCCACCGCCGGTGCCGCTGCTGGGGCTGGGGCCACTGCAGCCGCTTCATCCTCCACGGGGCTGGAGCTGGGAGGGGTGGGGAGAAAAGAGGAAGGGGGGCGGGGTAGCGGGGAAATCGACCGAACGGCTCCCAACCTGGAGCGCTCAGTGAAACCGACTAGGGAGAAAGGAAGGCGGGGCACCAGAGGAGGAGCCGAGGAAAGGAAGGGCGGGGGAGGAGGGCGAGGGCAACTTCTGCGCAGGCGCGGCCCGCGGGTGAGGGCGCTGGGCCTGGAGGGAGGAAAAGGAAGAGTCGCGAGGGAAGGAAGCGGCGGGGGCGCGCTGTGCGCGGCCGCGCTCAGTGTTTCGGTCCGGTCGGAGCGTGTGGTGGCGTCGCCGTTTCTCTGGTCGGTGTCGCTGGCGATGGCGCGCGCCTGCCTCCCTGGGTTTTGTTTGACGGGCTGAGGGGAGGAGTGGGTACCCGAGCACGCGGCCGCTCGGCACTGAAAACAGGAGAGACGAGAGGGACCCGAGGGGTGGAGAGGAAAAGGGAAAGGAAGATGCCGCGAAGCCAGTTCCCTGCTCCCTGACTGGTAGAAAAAACACCTTTAGTCAGCGGCCAAGGCCCAGGGGTAGGGAGATTGCTTCGAAGTTCGAGGCAGTACTATTAATTTTTTTATTTTCGTTGCCTACTAGCAATCACTATAGGACTATTCCGTACTAAAAAAAAAAAAAAAATGACGTTCTGAAACTCAAGAGAAGTAAACAAAATAGACAGGGGAGCCTTACGGGGAGGGCTAAGAATTTTGGTAGAAATAGTGGTTGTAAAGTCGGATTTCTAAGAGTATAGACATTTTGTTTTCTTCACTCACATCACCGTCTCTCCCCCCTGTCCTGTCTCTCCCCCACCCAACACACACAGTTACCACTGTCATCGCAAGTCGTTGGGTACTAATGAGGGGCGTAGAGGAGGGGTGCCACAAACAACGCTCATTTGTGTGCAGAAGGCGGGTCATGTTCCAGGGTGCTTATGTGAAGCATAGAGAACCTTGAACAAGGCAAATGTCAAGGTTCCAAAGTGCCAGATACAATTGTGCATAATTTCAAAAATTATCAATAAACCGCAATCTCACACTAAATATAGCCAGAGAGATGGGTTTTGTTTTGTCTTTCATGCTAGAATATAACTATTGTGTGCATTCATGTAGGTGGAGGAATCATTCCCATTGTTTGAAATTACAGTATGGGCAATTTGCCCTTTGCATTCATGCATTGTTCTTTTAAATTCTCCCAGGAGGAATCCACGTTGAATACCTTTAAGTATTGGTCTTTTGAGATCAATGTTTTTTCTGCTAAAGATGATCAAACCAACAGAGGAGCACATGGGGATGAGTAGGAACTCTATTAATAGAGAATAGGGAAAACAAAAAAAAGACCACTGAAAGAAGTGGCGAGGTGCACACAAAATATTTTCCTTTTCTTTAGAAGTTTGCACAAACCTATCTGCCAAATCAGTGACAAACTTGATGAATCCTGAGGACTCCTTCATTGTGCTTACCTCTTACTCAGTGTACCACTTGAGAGAGCAAAGATGGATTAGTCACAAGAGTGGTCTTAGACCAGTGTTATCCTAGGAACTGTTAGAAGTGCAAATTCTTGGCCCCATCCCAGACCCTCTGAATCAGAAATCACTGGAATCTGTTTTAATAGTCCCTCCAAGTTTACACATTTAAGAACCACTGTACTATAGTATGCTAATCAAGAAGGAGGTATGCAGTATCTAAAATGGTTCTGAAAGAAGAATAGATGAGAAAACCAACTCAATGCCATTCATTAGGTAGGTGGATAGAAGTATTGTGTTGCTAAGCCCTGTACTATTCTAGAAAAGAGGTTGGGAAATGAGAAAATACATAATGAAGTAATTTCATCATATTTAATAATATTAAGAGAATAATGCAGTCCTACTTCTTACAGTTGCCTCCCTGGAACAGTTTTTCTTTTAAACTCAAAATCAGAAGAGAACTTCAAAGTACTTATTCCACCCACTCCCAAAAATTTTCTTGTAGCCTGTGGTTGAAAACCACAGTGCATTAGCATCCCAGTCCTCCCAACCCTCCCACCCCAATTTACCATCATCAGCCTTGAATGTAGGACACTGGCCTGGCAGGTTATCACCAACTCTTATCACTGATCTCTGAGTGCTCACACATCTTCTCTATGCTTCCTAATTTGCAGAATTGCCTTCTTTCCCCTCTTGAAAATTCTTTAGCAAATAAAGGCCAATATTTAATGCAGTTCAACACCAATTATGTACTGAATTATATTGTTTTCTAGTTCCTTTTAGGTGTATGTATCTACAAACCTACACTGCAAATACAACATGTGGTCTATCCTACTGCCTAGCCCAGTGCTAGGCATCCGTGCCAATGGCTTTGAACAGGTCTCCATTCTTTTAGCAAATTCTGGATTAGATCAGCTCATGTCTTTGGACATCAATTGCTCAACTAGTACGAAAAAAACCTACTATGTCTGTCCATATATCAACCTAATACCAATATCTTTTTTTTTTAAGATTTTATTCGTTTATTTGACAGAGAGAGAGATAGTAAGAGAGGGAACACAAGCAGGGGGAGTGGGAGAAGGAGAAGGAGGCTCCCTGCTGAGCAGGGAGCCCAATGCGGGGCTCGATTCCAGGACACTAGATCTCAGGACACTGGGATCAAGACCTGAGCCAAAGGCAGATACCCAATAACTGAGCCACCCAGGCACCCCCCTAATACCAATATCTTACCATATATTCAATCTTAGAGTTGTACTGTCCTTTTTATCTAAAGAGATTACCACTTATTTTTCATAAGGTACTTCCAAATATATACTGCTTTTATCGGACAGATCTAGGCTTTGATCTTTACTATTCCTTGTGTGCTTCCTGAATCTCAAGTCAGTCTTCTCTCTTAGTGACATTTTATTTTTTTAAAGGGTTATATGTTTATACCTCGTTTTTTGTCTGTTGCCTTTTTTTCTTTTTTACTCACCTCGACCTTCTGTCCTTCTCTCATTTATAGTCTCATGTTCTCTTTTCTCCTGCTAGTTTCAAAAAGAAACTGTTTCTTTTTCTCTTCTTCCAAGCCCTATATTTCCTGACTCCTTGAACTTTCATGAGTCAAACTCCTTAAAGTTTCATGAGTCAAAAACTGAAAAACAGTTAAAAAAAAAAAAACTATGAAAAATCTATGTGGAGAGAGGCATTACAGAGATTCTGCAGAAATTGATGTTAGATGTGGTGTTATGTAACATCAGTTAACAAAGGGAAGTAAACAGTCTGTTAATTAAATTCACAGATAATATTAAACAAGGAGGTACTGAAAAACAGAACAATATACAAAAAAAAGGAAAATTCAAAATAGCCTTTACCTTGAGTAAAACAATCTTTGATATCTATGACTTTAGAAAATTTATCTAGGGGCACCTGGGTGGCTCAGTTGTTAAGCGTCTGCCTTCAGCTCAGGTCATGATCCTGGGATCCAGTCCTGCATCGGGCTCCCTGCTCAGCGGGAAGACTGCTTCCCCCTCTCCCACTCCCCCTGCTTGTGTTCCTGCTCTCGCTATCTCTCTCTCTCTGTCAAATAAATAAATAAAATATCTAAAAGAAAAGAAAAGAAAATTTATCCAGATATTGAATTAAATACAGTATTTAATGAAAAACAAATCATCAAAAGTGCTGGGCAAAGACTTATGGGTGAAAAGAATCTGAACATTTTTAATTTAAAAAAATTAATTTGGCTCATTCTGATTTTATTGACAACTTAAGTATGAATGTAATACATTCCAACATATTTTTTCAGTTTTGATACCTCAGTGTGTGAAAAGGTAATTCTAGGCAGTAATACAATTTTAAAGAACCTCAAGGGGCTTAGAACAAATATATGCGTTGTTTCTGAGGGGAAAACTAAGCAAGAAGTGATAAAGAGCTTACAGCTGTGTTTGAAGAATCCCAAATTGTGTCTCATGCCCTAGTACATACTCAGCTATACAAATAGTCTTCCAAATTCATCTAAATAATATCAAAAGGTTTCAGTGACCCAAAAAATCTTGAAAAGAAGCTTTTACTCCTAACCCCTAATATTCCTACTGCATTTGCTAACCTCATCTTAAAGTCCTCAAGAGCACACATTTCCTTATTAGGGAGATGTTTTAAGAAAATAACATTGAGGAGATACAGGTTAAAGGAAATTATTTTAATGAAAAAGTAAATAGCTCTGCAGAGATTACAGTATGTGGTATAATAACTAAATAAGATTTATGAAAATTATAAACACTGTGAAGAAATTAAGTAATAGTATTATCTCTAAGGCTGTAAAATAAACTTCAAAGGAAATTATCAGAGCCCTCTTCTGATGGCTAAAGGAGCTTAGAGCAGTTGGTTCTAAATATTTTTTCTCTTGAAAGAAGAGTTGACAAATGTCTTTATTTTTTATTAGTTTATTCTTATTCTATCTTTATTTTGTTGATTTTTCATTATTCTTTATCAGAAATTCTCTGCCTTCATTATTTCTAATCCTTTTTTTCTTTGCCTATCATTTTCCTCTGATCAAAAACATTTCTTTTTTTTTTTTAATTTTTTTTAAAGATTTTTTTTTTTTTTTTTTTTTTTTGAGACAGAGAAAATGAGAGACAGAGAGCATGAGAGGGAGGAGGGTCAGAGGGAGAAGCAGACTCCCCGCCGAGCAGGGAGCCCGATGCGGAACTCGATCCTGGGACTCCAGGATCATGACCTGAGCCGAAGGCAGTCGCTTAACCAACTGAGCCACCCAGGCGCCCTGATCAAAAACATTTCTATTTCCTGACTATACCTTGGTTCCTTCACATGATGGTGCTCTGTGAGAGAAGTAAAAGAAAAAAGGAAATGGAATGGTTTCAGGGCAAGGGAAATGGGAGAGTCAGGATGAGCAAGACTCTGGTCCATGTGTTCTTCATCGTTATACCCCTATACTTTGCCTGTGTCAGCCACATTTTACCACCTGAAGCACAATCACGGGATCCAACTAATCTTTGGCCTCTTCACTTTAGAAGTTCTGCAAAATCTCTAATTCAGGTTGCATCCTTAGGTCTATGTGAAAATCTACTGGTAACCCCTCTATTTCTAAATTCAGTTAGCACATCAAATACAGTCTTCTTTAATAGTCTTTAAAATAACTACACAATGAAAGGCTTAAATGTGGCCTTGAGTTAATTATAGATAAAATAAGGTGAGAATTTTAAATACATCAGAAGTTGTGAGTAATGTAACATTACAAAACTATAATGACCTTTCTTAGATATTTCTAACTATAATTATTTCTCAATTCATGTTCCTTTGAAGAGATTTTCAACTTCACCTGTTAACACAACACTTTTTTATTTTTTAACTTTCTCTTCATTCTTTATCTAGTTGTTAAGATAACAATGAAATATAACACATAGGATAGCAGTGATTTCCAGATTTCTGAATTTTACGGATTACTAAAGCTTCAACAAAAATTGAGAGACTATTAAATTGTTACGAAGTTGCTGACTTTTGGTTTTGTTGTTGTTATTAACTACTATTTCCTACCACTCTATTTCATAAAAGGAAAGGACATTTCCAGGCAAAAGGAAAGGAGGGGTAGGGAAAGAGAAAAAAAGGGGGAAGGAATTAATTTCAATAAAAAGTCTTTTGATTACATAAATTCAACTTCATGAAAAGTGCATCAAATATTGTGTCCTTTTTCATTTTCCCACAGATTTATTAAAAATTGGCATTGGTTTGCTGACAAGGTATCTTAGTCTGGGCTTCTCCAGAAGCAGACTCTGAATAAGACTTGAGTGGTAAGTCATTTATTTGGGAGGTGATCACAGGAAATTTCAGAAAGAGAGTAGGGAAGGGAAGGAAGCTAATACAAGATGTGTTAATGAGGGTACTGCTGTGAGCAACTGGGGCTCAATCCCACTAGGGAGCCTTGGGACACAACACAGAATGCACCCGAGAGTTGTCACACCTGAGGGACAAAGAAACTGGTTTTCAACTCATCAGCTCCCATTTGTCATTGATTGAGGGCTACTCCTAAGAGTATCTCCTTTCCAACCCCTCTGCCCTGCTCTCTATCCAAGCTAATTGTCTCCCAGGGCTAGAGAAAGCCCTCAAGTAGAGAGTTAACTAGTGTTTGCAGTGAAAGGCCATTACATGCACAGAAAAGGTGAGTGTCAAAGGGGTATGGAGTTGGCAAGGACAGTACCTACTATCCCAGGGTTTGAAAACCTCTGTGATGAAGAACTTTATTTCTGTTAAATAAAGGTATTCTGGAATGTTATTTGTTACACGTAAGCCATTTTATATTTAATTTATCCTACTCTATGACCTACTAACTTTATTTAGCACAACTGGCTAAGAGGCTTCTTCAGTATTAATCATGGTATAGCTGGAACAAGAACTCATCATTTCCCAGTAATGTGTATTATCCCTGGAGCAATGCTAACCAGAGGGAGTGGTTTTCTAAGATTCTCCATTTATTGCTTGATATCAAACATATTTCCTGTCTTTTTTTAAACATGTGTTTTGATCTAGATTATAGAATAGAAGCAAAGGTGATTATGCATTGGACATAAAATAGCTTATTGATAACCAATGGAAAAAATTAAGAAAAAACTACTATGAATATTAAAATAGCATTTTTGAAGAAATAATGTGATAGTATGTTTTACTTTTTTTTTCTTTAAGATTTTATTTATTTGATAGACAGCACAAGCAGGTGAAGCAGCAGGCAGAAGGAGAAGAAGAGGGAGAGGGAGACGTAGACTTCCCGCTGAGCAGGGAGCCAGATGCAGGGCTCGATCCCAGGACCCCAAGATCATGACCTGAGTCGAAGGCAGACACTTAACTGACTGAGCCACCTAGGCACCCCAACTATGTTTTACTTTATTAAAAGTGGTTCAATATTCATGCCTTGTATTTATAGAAAATTTTAAAGTTGTCCAAGTGCTTTCTCATGCATTATCTTTTTCACAACTCTGAAAAAGTTTGACAATACTATTATTCTCAGTTAACAGATCTGTAAGCTTTTGAGTTCCAAAGGTGTGGTCAATTCACCTCAAGTAATGGAGGTTTATTATAAGGATGCCTGGGGAAGTATGGTAGGACAAAAAAACTGTCCCACAATAAAATGTCTAGCCTCATAGGGAACTGTAATATCTTCATTGTTCAGGACCCAGAAGCAGCTCTAGGGAACTAACAGGAATGCTTGTGGTAATGCCTGAAGAATGGGGACCATGTTATTATCTCCTTCAGTGGCAGCATCATTCCCATGACTCAAGTGCTCAGTCACTGTCACTGCTGTATTGTTTCTCTGCCGAACATAGTACTGCTTCTACTGATTCTGATTATACTTCCCGTATCAACCACCTCTCTTCATGCCTCTCTATCTCATAATTCCTGCTTATTTGTGGCTTCCACTACCTTGCTTCCACTTACAAATATTTATTAAGTGCCAGGGAAACAGCGATGAGCCAAAATAGGCATGGTCTTTGCTTTCATGGAGCATACAGTTTGTTTTTATTTTTTTAATTTTATTTATTTATGTATTTTTAAGATTTTATTTATTTGACAGAGAGAGCACAAGCAGAGGGAGAGAGAGGGAGAAGCAGTCTCCCTGCTGAGCAAGGAGCCTGATGTGGGACTTGCTCCCAGGATCCTGGGATCATGACCTGGGCCAAAGGCAGCCACTTAACTGACTGAGCCACCCAAGCGTCCCATCATGGAGCATACAGTTTGGAGAGAGGCAGATGTTTCATCAACTAGCCACATAAATAAATGCAGCATCTAATACTAAAATAAATTATATTAGGGAAAGAAAAACTAAATGACTTGGAATCTTTATGGTTTTACAGTGATTCAACAGAGTCTTTGTTGAGTGTTTACAGAGTGTTACGGTATAATAATGCAGACAGTGTATCAGCCCTAAAGCTGGGATGCTGGGACAGATAGACTGGATTTAAATCCCTCCTCTGCCACTGCTAGCTCTATAACCTTGGTCAAGTTACTTAACTTCTCTGAGTCTCAACTTTTGCATCTATTATATGTATAGATAGCAATATCTGTTGACTTAGGTTGGATTCGTCCAGAAGCAGATCCAGTATTAGATTTGGATTGTAAGTTATTTGGAAGGTGATCCCAAGAAGCTAGGAGCACTTATTCTCCAACTCCCTTCCATCTGGGGTGAAGACTGCTCGGAGATTCTTTAACCCCTACACTTCTGAGATGTCCCATGCTCACAGGTGAGAGAATTCCTAGTCATCAGGTAGATTCCCTGACCTTGCACTAGAATGGGTGACATAGGAATGACAAAGGAACATGGGTGGGGTACTGACAGCTTTTAAACCCACCTTTAGGAGGTTTTTATGAGGATTTGAGATACCAAGATAATGGAACAAAATAGGAGCTCAATAAATTGTATCCACTACAATAGATAAGTCTTGTTGAGAGAATGAGATATGCACTTATGAAATAGTAACATAATAATATATTACAATGTAAAATTCAATATATAATTGTTAACATATACTAACATTACATACATTCAATATATAATTGTTAACATGTTATAGTACTGCAATGGTAGTTCAGAAGAGTCAAATAGTTTGTGCCCTAGAAAAAAGGTCATAGCTTTTCTTTTCTTTTTTTTTTTTTTTGAGCTTCTATTTAACTTTATCTCCTTTAGTAGTAAAAGAGGGACTGGATCTCCCAGGCAAGGAGATAAGGAAAGGTGGGAAGACAAGACGAACATTTTTTCTGTGGTAAAAAAGGAAGTAGCCATCCTTACTAGAGAGGTGAATTCATAACCAGAAAGCAAGATGAAGGTTAAGTTGTAAGTTAGGGCAAAGTTATGGAAGTTTTAAAAAGCTAATCAGAGGCATTTAGATTTCATCTTCAGGCAAATAGGCAGCTGCTGAAGATAGCTGAATAAGGAAGACCATCATGGTAACAAAAATCTAAGGATGAACATTAAATTAAGTCTTAGATCTTGAAAGGGACATTGGAGTTCATCTAGTATAAGTCCTACCCAATACAAAAGGTCTTTCTAGAGAAGTCTGTCACTTGGTAAAATGTGAATATTTTCAGTGATTTGATGTTCATAAGATACGGCATTAACTGTGTTAGAAAGTGGTTCCCTTTATTGAGCAGAAATGTGCTCCTGGTGACGTCCTCACACTGGTCCTAGTTCATGTTTCTATATTTATGTTAAACACAGAGCCCTTAAAATACTTGAAGATAACTAATAAGTCCTCCAAGCCATTTTCCTAAATTCTAAATGTTGGAAGTATCCTTGGCTTTCTTCCCTATCTACTGCTCTTTCTAGATAATTTCATCCAGATTCATGACTTTGAATACCATATATATGCAGATGACTCCAAAATTATTATCTCCAACCCTAGCCTCTCCTCTTAGCCCCAACTGTCCCTTGGCATCTCCATCTGAATATCTTATCTTCAACAAAAAAAGTCTTGAATTTACTACACACAAAACTTCTTCCCCCAGAATCCACATGTAGTAAATGGTATCAACCATTCCCTTAGTGGCCAGATACCTAGATAACATCAATTCCTCTTTCTGTCACATCTCACATTTAATTTATCAGTGCATCCTCTCAGCTCTGCCTTCAAAATATATCCTATATTTCATTGCTTTCAATCTTAATTGCGACCACCCCAGTCTAAGCCACCATCTCTTACCTCAACTTCTATAATAGAACTGTATAGCAGTCTTCCAGCTTCCACTTTTCCTCCTCTTGTTTATTCTACACACATTAGCCAGAATGACCTTTTTAAAATGCAAATCAAATCACTTCACATTCCTTTTTAAAATCCTCCCATCACACATAATAATATGCAAAATTCTTCCCATGATCTATAAGGCCTTACATGACTTGGCCTCTGCCTCTCTTAAACCTCAGACCCTACCACACACCTCCACCTCTCAACTATTGTCTGGTTACACTGAATGTCTGCCTGTTTCCTGAATATACCAAGAATCCCTCTATCTCAGAGCCTTTAGACTTATTATACCCTCTGTATGAAATACTCTTCAGTGGACTTTTGCCTGGTTTACTTCTTCCCTTCATTGAAGACTGCTCAAATATCATGTCCTCATAAAGTTCTTCACTGACCACTCCAACCACAAAAACCTTCCACTTACACTGTTTGATTTTTCTTAGTGCTTTTTAGTGCCTGAAGTTATGGCATATTTTTGTTTGTTTACTTGTTTATTGTCTACCTCCACAAATAGATTATAAGCTTCATGAGGACAGGATTTCTGCCTATATTAACTGCTATATTCCACTTGCCTAGGGCAGTATCTGCCACATGGTAAGTGCTCAATAAATCTCTGTGGAAGGAAAGAAGAACAGATAAAAAAGAAGGAAGAAGGGAGGAGCTAGAATTTTTGGAAATTCATATCCTGCTTTTGAAAAACATTGCATTTACAACAATTATCATTGAAATATTTCCCTATGATTATTCGTCAAGTCTCCCCCCCTGCTATATTCATACAACTCAGTATTGAATCTGGTGCATTCTTTAAGTTTGGGTTTAATATTTCAAGCTTTCAAGATTTTTTTTAAAAATCCACATTATGTAATACAATATATTGACTATTTCTTCCACCTTTTTGGTATCTGTGATGGTTAATATTATGTATCAGCTTGGCTAGTCTATACTAGCCAGTTATTTAATCAAATACTATCTAGGTGTGCCTGTGAAGGTATTCTGAAGATGTGGTTAATAGTTAACTATAAGTAAAGGGGATTACCATCAATAAGGTGCCTGGTCCTCATCCA